ACCTTGATTGGTTGAAATTTTATAAGTATGTTGAAATCTATGTATATTAGAGTGAAGCCAGATGGGATCTTAAGTGCATTAAAATCGCCTGCAACAACTAAATCTCTCGCTAGACAGCTTTCGGTAGGACTCATCCTTCATTGCTTTCAAACTGCAGCCTGTCGGTGCGTAAACAATAAATACAAAGAGACGGCGAGCTTCACTATTCCGTTCTGTCATCGTGCCGTTCAGTCGAACAGCGCATAGGTGACTGTCAGCTGGGATCCAGTCGAGCAGAGAACCATACAAGTTCAAGACTGCGAGGACTGGCCATCCAGTCTCCAGAGACTCGAGGGATAAATTTTGCAGATTCACCACATTGCCCGGGTGATTTTTGAGCTTGGATCCTGTCCGCGTGCCTCACATGCGCGGCACATCCATGTTCTGAGCTGCTAGTTTTGGCTAGTGGACCTTCTTGGGGGATTTGATGGAGGATGCGGACGTTCAAAACTCCAGTGTGTAATTTGGAGCGCGGCTTCAGGAGACCAAGGATACTGTCCTGTCGACTCAAATCATCGTCGAAAGCTGCAGAGCTATAAGAAATTAAAGTTGATGTAGAATAATCGACTGATACACGTCATCGCGAAGTGGGATGACTCAGTCAACTTCTTGAGTAGTGTTTATCAGATGTGGATACATCTCTATTCAATAAATGACAATGACATTCACTCGATGACTATCAAAAGCATGTAGTCTGTCACAACATAGTTGTCTCTGCCATCGTTTCCTACCCATATTTAGTTGTTTGAGGAATAACCATGTCCTCTCACTTATCGTGTTCCTGATGTTGCCGCCACAGTTACAACAGGTTATATGTGTAGTAATATCTTTATGAAAGGCAGTTATTCTACATAATCAACTTACATGTCGTGGACACATTGTTTTTGGTTGGTTAGAAGGAAGGTGTATACTTGCAACTCAGCGCGACGCAATGGCAAATCAGGTTGTGTGGCTCTTGAAAGCTTTTTCACTTGAGTTCTTTAATAAATGCTTCAGCTACTAAATATCATTTAACCTGGCATGGTTTGTCAAAGAAAATGTTGAAAGTGGTTCTGTCTTCGAAGTTATACAGCTCTAGTGAGAGATTCCCTTTTGGAACTAATCAATTCACACTGCTCGAAGGCTATCATTCAAAGTAGCCCTTATAAATAATACCAAGCCCGACTGAGCATGCCTCATAATTTGTGTTACCGACTGTGTTACGTTGACCACAAGAGTCCAAGGAAGACTAAAATTGGATAAAGGTCGGAAAAGATTTAGATGTGGTAAAGGCTCTTTCCAGTAACATCTGTTTGCCTAGTTACCGTACTGCTCTGTCGTTGAAGTTAGGTGTGTTCCTGTACAAAGGGAAGGTAGTGTTTGATATGTACAGTACTATTTTCCATCCTAGTTTCTCTTGTGTAACTGTTAACCATTCACTTGTTTTACATACTTTATTGTAAGGGTTCATAATACTACTAGGTGGGGATGGCATTTAAACCTGGGACCTTATAATTGTAAGCTAAGTACTTAAGCCAGTGAGCTACTTTTCCCTTCTAAAACGTCGTACCTCGACCTGGTGGACAATTAAGTTAGCCCCTACGTTGAAGACCAGTTACTTCCTGCCACCGACAGTAAAAACGGTTAACTGCAACATTCGATCACTTTGTCTATCTGTTACACTTCAGATATGATTTGTTTAGTTCAGCTATTACTGAGGATGAGGAGACAGTAGATACTGTTGTTCGATCTGCAATGTTACACTACATTTTTCTTGTTAAAAGATTGTGGACCACGTTAATACTTCTAAGAAAAAGACTTTCAACTGAGATATTGTAACCTACACAAGATACATAATTGTTTCCACATGCTTCAACACTTTCGTCTTATTTTTCGATGTGGAGATATGATTCATCAGCTTCAAAGCGATGTATCTCGAGTTCAGACCTCTTCTCATCTGCTTCGGCCTAAAAAACCGAGTAAATATTATAAGCCTTCACAAGTGTGGCTCATGACTTAGTAAACTAAATAAGTAAAAAAGACATCTGAGTACGCTGTCTCTTCATTATCACCTTTGACTAAATTTCGAATAAAGAAAAAGAGGCACTCAAAAACTGCTTAAAATATGGAAAGCCAAGCGTTCACACGTTGTGGTGGGTAATTTCAGTACACAGGTAAAGTAGCTAAGCTAAACAATTAACATTGAAAATCCCAGCCGAAAGAACAGGTAATGTCAATCATGTCCGTGTTTTGGACTCCTTTTTACTAACTAAAGTAAAAGTACGTATCATGACGATATTCACCAATGTGACTACAAACCACTAAGTCACCTGAATCATTGTGTAAACATAAACAAGCGTTCAAATAATCTCCTATCGCCTCCAAATTATTCGTATGAACCTCTAGAATTATTTCAGAGTCGGAGTGTAAGATTTCTAAAAAGACAGGTTCATAACAGTTTATTAGATGATCTCTGGATTTCAAAGCAGCAAACAAACACCGAGTGGAATTTCTCCGCATCACTTGGGATTTAATGGTAAGGCCTAGAGATTGAAATTTAAGCTATAATTAGGGTATGCAACCTAATAGTAGAGCTTACTTCAGTGGGAACTTGTCCATAGTTTTATCCTTTATGTGAATTACAGTCATATGAAAAGTCCCTCAAAATTATGAAATAGTTCCAAACGATAATACGAGAAATTAAGTCCCTTCGATCCAGTTAAAGTTCTCCTAAAATTGTACATAGTAATCAATAATCCAAAGCGCACGATGACTACACAGTCACCTTCAATTTGATTAGCCACTTCAGGGTTCTTTGGCGATCGCTCAAGGATGGCAGGATTCTACAATTCTACCGGAAAACTACAACTAGCAGAACATCCTGATTATTGCTTGACGATGTTGCTAAAGATATCTTCAATAAGACATTTATGAGTAAAGAACAGCGTTAATCTTAAGGAGGCCCTATGTCATCTCTAGTCTGCTGTAAAAACAGATTTGAAGAAAGTGACCAACCGTCGGAAGAAAGTTAGAAACACTCTGAACGGCTTCTACCAAATCATTGGATAGATGACAGCTTATTCCTGCAGTTTCATAGCATACTGAAGAATGGGAGGAGCTAAAAGATAGACTGACAAAGAATCGACACAATGACCATAAACGGTGTTGGGCAACGAATATGAAAGATATGGAAAGACGACGATTGGCGGTAACAGGTAGTTTAGACTTTCTGAAGAACTTGGAGTGGTAGTAGGAACATATTGGAGACATGCGTCTACGACTCATCTAGGAGAAACAACTGGAACGAAACACTTTAAGGAACAGTTGGGTCATCGGTTATCCGGTTGAACACTGGGCGATTAAGAGGTTGATAAGTAACCTGAAAAGACGAAGGACAAACTAGTTAGTACTAAAGCTATTTACGAGTGGTGGTCAAAGATCATTGGCTTGAGTTACTGGAGACGACGCTTGCGTGAGGAAATCAGCTATGATCTCCCTGACTGGTCTTAATTATTAATCCTCTTGGGGTAACCACAGAAGGATCAGGCTGACAAATATAGCGTCTCAGGTTCTAGGTTTCCTCATCACATCTAAGTGGAACTTGGAAATAATAAACACGAAAAAACCAGGCAGGCTGCAAACCTGACCGTGAGTGTATCGACCAAACATTCACATCAGATTCTGGAACACAGGCACACTTACCGGCGCTGTTTGAACACTTGCAAGCATATTAGATCCCATGGTGTATCAGGTGAGTTATGTATACCTAGTGGCATCCATCAGTGGGGTGTCTACTTTCTCCATTCTTGTTTCAATTTATCAGACGTACTTATTGAGCTCTCCGATCTAACTACCGGGATTCACTTTATCACAGGGGACTCCATGTAGACCTAGAGTACGCGAGTGACAACCATGTTAGGTGAAAATGTTGAGGAAATGTAGCGTCTTCTGAACACCGTGAATAATTTGAACATATAAGATATTGCTCTAGTATTGTCACCCTGTCTCCAGTGGAGTTGTAGCTCATTGATTTAGGGAGTTGACTTTCAACCATTGGGTCAGGGGTTCAAACACTGCTCCACCCAGGTTTCTGCAGCCGGGAAGTATCACTAGCCCTCACGCTGTGGTCCATTGCCTACTGTACGGAAGTGCACAAGGTAGCTGAGTAGATTTCGACTTTTTCGATTGACCACTTCACTTAAGAAATCGAATCAGCCTAGATAAGTCGGAGGATTGACTAGAGTTCTTCACGAATACGAGGGCTTTTTCACAGTTTACGCCGTCTGTGGTGACGGCAAGATATCTAATTGCCTTATGAGTGTCGGGAACGCTATATATCATCTAGCTTTTTATCACCACTTATATTGACTGCAGTTTGAAACATCCAGAAAGCAGTTTTTCATAGCAACTGCTAGTCTTGCTTAAGGAAGTCAATTATTCGAAAATAGCGATTACTGATATTTCCTTTCATCCAAACAAATTTATCCTAACTAGCGATAACTCAAGTTATGATTCTCTTAACGGTTCAATGAAGTGGGATTTAGACGTGAAATTCATAGCCTGAGAGCTTGGTACCTAAGCGACTTATTCTGCTGGTGTTATGCAACCAAGAAAATCTTTCATGACTGAGAGAGTAACAACTGTCCGCTTTACGCTTGGTTTTGAGTGACTTAAAAGGGATTTGTTTGGGAAATCGCAAGAAATTTTTTGATTGCTATTTTCTGTATTTCTGTTTAAATCAAACAATTTCCAAAGAGTAGTATCAAATTGGTGAGCATGTAGTTCTCAGTACAGAAGACAACAAATTCGCATGTTGCTGTTGTCAAGTTAGATATACCGGTCCCGAAAAGTACTATGATAGTTATGTCTCCACAAATAAATCTAAGATACATGTAAATAACTTTAATTGTCTGTTTCTATTCAAACTTCTGCATTGTGATCACATAAACTATCCTTATAACCGATATGCTTTTATATTTCAGGTATACCAGAGAGTGAAACTCATTTTGAAAGCAAGAACTTGGCACTTTCCCATCTAGATGACGTTATTGATTCTGTTGTTTCTGAAGCTATTGAATATGCTGACAAGCCTCCAGAAGAGAGAACACTTCCAAAATTAATCCGGAAGGCCCCTCCTCCACCCCGTATTCGTCCATCTTTGGCTATGTCTGACTTCAATCAAAATCGCAATTTTGCAACACCTAACGGCTTGAATCAAATGCCATTCCTAACTAGTGGTAATCAGTTTCAACAAAAGCTCAATGAACAGTTCCCAACTATGGTCCCGTTCAATTCTGGTCAGGCAACAGCGGCTGCTCAACAACAACTGTTAATGCAGTATAATGGGCAGTATCCAGCCCAACAGCAACAACAAAGACAACAACAGCAGCAACAACAACAACAACAACAGTACTCACAAGCTGCACATTTCCAAGCTTTGCAAAACCAACAAGCTCAGTATCAGGCAGTGAATGCAGCTGCACTCGCCCAAATGCAACAGCTTCAGCGTCAACAAATGCAAGTATGTTGGAAGTTTAAATTACTAAGTAATTTATGCATCAAATTATTTGCGGTGACGTGACGTAGCTGCAAAGTTTGTCTTTGCATTTTATAGTCTGAAAATGTTACAAAGTAATGTTACGCCGTAACAATTGGATGACTCTAGGTTGCATAATCTTTGTTTTCCAGGTAGTCATAATGTCCACATAGCTATAAATCCAAACCATAACGAAAATACGTTATTGGTCAGTGTCATCTGCCCATTGGAATTAGTCTCAATTTAGGTGCTGAGTTTCTGAACTATCCTGCAAGTCTTTCCTATTGAACCTTGTACACATGTTCATTGAGTTTATAATTTCTATTCGGATCCATCTGATGGAGTGGTTGTTTTCCAATCGTAAACACATTTCGGTTGCATATGGGTATATATGGCACAAACTCAGCTTATATTCGAATTTCTTTCACAAGACCTGTGTGACGTGTATGTCTATCCGGTGGATATATTCCTGTTGGAATACCTCTACATGAGTTATGTATATATTATACAGGTGTGGTGCTTATTAGTTTCACGCTGATAAGTTTCCAGTTCCCGTTTACGTCACTAACAAGCAAACAATACAACAGCTTAAGATAAACAATAAAATTAGGGATGTGTGACTTTTTTTAGGTATTCACTATTATTCATATCGCCTATGTCGTTTTGTCCATAGCGTTTTTTCAAAAAACGAAGTTTTTCTATGGTCTAAAAATTTCTCAACCTACCTCAAACCCTACCTAAATAACGTTTACCATAACTTCTTAAAACCTTGCGAATTGGCTGTCTGCTTGTCTTTGTTTCCCTCCCCCACCCTATGTTCTTTGCAGTCAGACCTTGTTCATCTTAGTCATAAGATGGCTAGGACAGGCTAGAGGTTAATGTGTGAGCGAGATACAAACAGGACATATGCAGTTTGTAGAGGAGACTACCTGCGTAGGCGTGGAAGCACTATCGATAAGTTGGCCTTGACCATAAAAATATTCAATTTGACTGCCTGTCTAACCTTATCAGCTAGTGTTTAAATTTAGCCTGTTTGTCTATCGATGCAGACTAAACGCAAATAGCTAAACCTGGGTTTTTGAATGCCAATTGATGTCTTTTTACATCCTATGTTTATTCATAGTATCATTTGATAGCGCCAAGGCCCAACGACTTCATTCTGCATACCGTCAAATATATCAGTCAGTTGTCTTCGTTTTCACTGCTCATTTAAGTATCTTTCGCTAAGCATTGACATTTATGCAGTGTTTGATGTAGTTCCGAACGGGGCAAGCTCTTCTCCATTATTCTGCGGTACATTTATATTACTTATAAGGTACTCAGCACTTCATCGGTTTATCGTTATCCTGTATCAATAATATCAGTCTGCCAAACCACAGCTATCTCATATTCTCATTGACATTAATTTTCGGTTACTCTTCACGCTAGAGACATTGCCTCAGTAGGCTACCTATCATTTATTGTCTTCATGAATTAACTAGGAAAAAAAATCAAGGAAGTCTGTTTGTATCCCCACATAATCGTCCTATTTTTGTACAGCTGTCACTTGAGGATGTTAGGTATTCGGCGGTAGAAGGTCGTTGGCGAAATGTCTAGAAAGTACACTGAGTAGCATGAATGTGGTTACTCTTCACTATCAAGATTTTGGGCATCTTACTAGCCATCAGTTGGTTCTTTTTTTCTATCTTTTTCTGTTAACTTCCCCTTCCTGTGTTGTTGTGAAGTGCAACAACTTGATCTAATGTGCAGCTCATATCAACACATCAAGTAACAAGACAGTAAAATGGGAGATGAAGAAGGATATAAAAGTCGGTCAAAGGAAACGGAAATTAGTAAAAGAGAGAAAGGAAGAATGGTTAGATGATGAGATTAGGTATAGCTGTTACGAAGAGGATAATGTGTGTTATGCATCTGCACCACTGACATCGGTTCTCAACCATATCACCTAGAGTCTCCAACCACTGGTTTCTCTTGTCTCGTGGACCTTAGCCGGCTAGACTGCATCGCCTTACATCTCTGGGACGAAAAGTCAGGGACTTCATTGATTGATGTAATGTTTTAGTCTGGCGCCCGCGTGCCTTTTTTCAGCTTGAACCTACTTCGGCCAACATCACGTGGTGAGGTAGGAGATGGGTGGCTAGGCATATGTAACACATGCCCCAGCCATCTCAGTCGATGAAGGTTCATAACCGTGTCAACTGTCATACCTCTCCTACCTAAAACTCTACACCTGACTTCTGCGTTACTCACATGATGACACCACGGAATACGGCCTATGCTACGAAGACAATGATGGTCAAACACTTGAAGGATTCGTACAGCGTTCCGAAATTGATTTTTGCGAATATTCCTCGTCATAGTACTGTGTGTTGTATTATAGTGTGATTTTATTTAACTTTCGGAATGATCTTATTGGTTTCGAATGGTTTCTGTAATTTCTGGATTCTTGAGGAGTGTGAATAATACATTTTTGACCCTGCTTACATAAACTCATTGATTTATAGTGTGAAATATGACTTATTTCAAGTGTTGTTGTGTGTTGAACATTTCTTGTAATCATCATTATCTTTCATTTTTCTATTGATTTCCCCCCCAGCGTCAACAGCAACAGCAGCAGCAGCAACAACAACAACAACAACAAATGTCAACGCCAAATCGTCATATGTTGTACTCAGCATCGGGTTCACCTCCTATTAGTCCAGCTGTAGTGACAAATTCTCCGGGATCTCAACAACAACAGCAACAACAAGCTTTAGCATCAGCACAACAACAGTTACATCAGTTGTATGCAGCTGCTCATCAGTTGCCTGGTCAGTATATTTTGTAGTTAACCTTGCCTTTTATGATGAGAGTTCGATTCCTAAAACCTACTACATGGATTGCATAGTGAGCATATCAGCTCAAAATTATTGGTCTTCGCTCATACTCACGCCGCGCGTTATTTCCAACAGACCAGTTTCTGCTTGAATATGCCTAATTTGAAATGCTTTTCCTCATTCTAATGGAATTAAAGTCTGTTGGATGTCATTCTAGTGTTGATGGAACTTTGACAGAAACAATCGGTCAACACTGCATCTAGAACCTCGATAAGAAAATAAGTGTAGACTTTGCCTAGGTGTATTGAAAGGATAAATGAGAAAAAAAAATTAAAAGTTCCTACGGATTTGCTTGACGAAACCGAAAGAGAAAACTACAGATAGGTGGTGCTTGTAAAGATAACTGTGATGGAAACTCGTTTTTATCACCTCAGTTGACAGGCTCTACACTTGTTGACTTGAAAGGTTTCAGTAATATCCTTCTATGACATTCCTGTTGTGAAAAGATTAACTTGTAAGACCTTTCAAGTAATACATAATCTGTTACAATGATCTCATTTACCATTTCTACACCAGTATTATGCAAGTCTGATTTTTTCGAAGATACTAGGAGTCACTAACCCTCAAGTTTCAGCTCATCGGTCACAAAGTATAACCTAATTGTTAGCGTGTTATCCAATCTTTGATATATAGTGGTATATACCGTATCAGTGAACTGGATGACTTCACACATGCATCTTTTTGTCACCTGGACTGAGGATGAGGAGGCATCCCCGATCGGATCTCAAAACTTGAAGTACACGAGACGATGTTTTTTCGACAGTTTTGTTTGGATATCTTATATCGTAGGTGATTTAGTTTAATTGTTAGGTTGTAGAGAGAGAGGTGTATGCAAGCGACATCTGAGTACGGAATACTATAGTCGCTCTTGGATACTTTGAAGGCTATGTCGTACAGTTGTGGTAACGGGGTGCACTTTTCATGCATTTCCTCACCTTGGTGACATCTTGTTTCTACGTAATTATACATATGCAAGCTAGTTTCGATTGTTATTGTTTGAAGGAATAAAAAGCTTACTGCATGGAAAATTCATATTAACTTTTGCTTCTGTTATCTAGGTATGATGCAAACGTTTCCTCCGAATCAGGGGCAACAACCAAACATTCAACAAACTATACAAAATCAGCAACCTCAAGTACAACAACAACAAGTATGCAATCAACGTGTTTGGACGAACGCTGAACAACTTCAAGCAGCTCAGCAACAACAATTGGCAGTAGCAGCTGCTGCTGCGGCGGCGGCATTTAATCCTAATTCAGTTCAACAACAATATATGCAACAACAACAACAACAACAGCCTTCACCCCAACAACAAGCTAACCAAGCAGCTCAACGTATGACAAACGATTTCCAAACCTATGCCTATCAACAATAAACTTTGTAAACAGACAAGAGTTACAAACATCATTTCAGTCTATATAATTAGTATTCGTTTATACTGTCCTACCATATATATATATATATATATATATATATATATATATATATATATATATATATATATATATATATATATATATATGTTTTTATGACTTAATTTCACGCATTTGCCTGTATGTTGGTTCATCCACCACAAAACTGCAATTAGATGAATCCAGTTTCCGATACTTTTTAGCCTGTCAACAGCTGCCTTTTTTATCTAATCTCAATCTGACGATCTTCCTTTTCTTTCTTGACAAGCAAAATCATAGGTTTTGTGCCTTGTTGCATTTCTGTTTTTTCCCCTTTCGGTTTCAATCTCTTACTTGTGTGTATGTGTGGAGTCCAGTTGTGTACAGCCCGTCTGTCCATTTAACCTCCTACAAAGTTACTTCTGAATATATTTGAGGTCACTTAAACCGCCTCCACTATCACTTCTCTCCCCACAATGTGCGCATTTAACTTCTATTTTGTCCTAGTGAAACTGACCGAATTCCCTCGGGAACATATTTCAATGTTTGATGCCATATTTCATTACTTGCATAGAGAGATAGATCATTGTGTATTCTAAGTTTTGTTTTTTGGTCTTTTCTATCGTATACTGTAAATTTATGACATTCCATGTTTTGGTAGGTCCATACTTCGAATCGACTTGTCTTTTTTTTATTACTATTTTCCATCCATAATTACTATCAGTAATTTATAGTCATACATTGAAGGTGTGGAATCCTGAAATTAAAACTGAGTTTTTACCTCTGCGAGAAGAATATAACTTTCTACACTCTTCTTATTTGTTTGTCTAGAATCTTTCTTGTGTCTACCTACACCTGACTACGAAATTATTCGATGATAATGATAATAATAATACTCCTTTTTCTTTGTAACTTATGACGAATTCCCATTTGTGTGTATGTGTGTGTGTATTTATAGGACAACCATTTTACTCTAACCAAGACTTTTTATGTAGTTCATAATGCACTTGAATTTCTTTCCCACCCCCTCTTGTTGTAACAGTAGTGGATCTCATATTGTGAAGGTTACTGAGTGAACTTTATTATTATCCTTTTCTTTGGCAAATACTATTACAGTATATAATCATCGATCATTACTAAATACCGCATCACATAAACATGGATCATTCTATTTCTCAACATTGAATTTTCTCTTCGTTACTTTTTCTATAAACATACAATTGGGATGGAAATTTTTAAGACGTATTTAATCCGATCAGGTTACTGATTATTGCCGCTGTTGTTATCTATCTCCTGTATTTTACTCATTGTGTAATTCATGTCAAATGAGACAATGTTCATACATAAATTTGAGTTCTTCCGTTTGGTCATTTTAGCCTATCTTTGTGTGCATTGTGAGCGCTGTCTAACCCAATCGCTTTGTGAAATAGTTCCGATACTATACAATCGCTCTATGTATATTTATGAAGGAGAAGAATTGTTGTATGAAAGATTGATATATTAGCCCATTTTTAGTCATAATTTTACGGAATAATTCATCTTATTCTTCGCTAACTAGCTTCAAACAACCAACTGATGATAGGTTTGTGTATGGCTTATATATAAGTTGTTGCAGTGGGATGTACTTAAGACTGCGTGTTGACGACCCTAGAATTGACTAGTGTGATAATCTGGAAGAAACAAGCTTCTAGAATGCACTTGCAATTAGTAATGAATGTCAATCGAAAATAGCTGACTGTGCAAAACAAAATGATCAGGTAATTTAGGAATGATATTTTTTCTTTTTGGAAGTGCTTCATATTCTTATCATACCACCTGAGAGAATGTACTTCTTACAAGTTGTACTGTATAACGGAGATCTTATTCCGGAGCATCCTTTATTCTTGGTCATTGTTAATTGATCATAACGACATATATTATTGATACTGAGTGATGATTGAAGATGAACTGAAAATCTGGACTGCGACCAGATTCGAACCAGCGACCACCAGGTTTCCGCCTTGGTCCTCTACCAACCTAGCTACCAGGTCCGACTGCTGACCATATTTTTATTTCACTTTAATCACTATGGGTTTTGCCCGACTACCACGTGAAATCGTGACGTTTTACTACCTCTTGATTGTACTCCATACTGGTTGCCTAGTCAGAACTTCTCATTCCAATCCAAATCTAACTGAATTTCAGAAGGGGAGCATCATATTAATTGATCGGGTAAAACCTTTGGTGATCGAGTGAAATAAAAATGGTCAGCAGTCAGATCTCATAGTTCATTTGGTTAAGCACTAGGCAGGGAACTCGGTGGTCACTGGTTCAAACCCGGCCGCAGTCTAAATTTTTATTTCACCTTCAACTAATACTCAGTATCAATACTAGTCTACCAAACCACGGCTATCTCAGATAGTCAAAATGATATATCTAGTTGTAGATTAAACGAAGTATAGTGTTTTCATGGATTTTCCCAGTTATTTCTTAACACGAGAATTGCGTAATATATTACTTAAAACTGATGGGTCGTGGCTAGCAGTGGGACCTAGGATGTGCATTTCGTCCTACTCGGGACTCGTCAGCTGGATGTACCTGCTTCCCAGTGAGTGATATTGTTCCCACCGGGATTCGGACTCGGGAGCGATCGCTCCTAATGCCAGCGCGTTATCCACTACACCACGGAGCCACGATAGCCACTTCTTGTGCGACGGGTATAGGTTTAGTGTTATTGCTTGTATTACATCGTCGTTGATTAGACCGAACTGATCGGTCTCCATTAGCATATATGGGCTCCTATGCGGATGCCTCGATATTGCCAGCGTTCTAATTATGTTAACGATGGATCGTGGCTTGCAGTGGAATCCAGGATGCTCATTTCGTCCTGTTTGGGACTCGTCATTATACTAAAAACTATACCCGTCGCACAAGAAGCGTCTATCGTGGCTCGATGGTGTAGTGGGTAACGCGCTGGCATTTAAGGCGATCGCTCCCGAGTCCGAATCCCGGTGGGAACAATATCACTCACTGGGAAGCAGGTTTATCCAGCTGACGAGTCCCGAGTGGGACGAAATGCGCATCCTGGATTCCACTGCTAGCCACGGTCCATCAATAATATAATTAGAATGCGGGCAGTATCGAGGCATCGACGCAGGAGCCTATATGCCAACAGAGACCGATCGATTCGGTCCAAGGAACGACGGTATCATATAAAAACCATTATACTAATTACTTGAAACTATTGATAAACGGCATTCGATGTCTATATCATGATTGGACTGACAGAATTCTTTGCATATCGAATTTATGATAACCCAAACAGCTGGGACTTTTCAACTGGTGGTGGTTTGTAGTCTGTCGCATTATTCGTACGGCAGGAAATATTTTTTAAAAAGAAACTAGGAGCTTATTAATTGAGTATTCTTTTGATGAGTAAATGTGATTTGCCTGTTTGGGAAAGGTATGCCTATGGAACTGAAAGATAACGAACAATCGAATAGTTTTAAAGTTGGACAAGAGAATAAGAATTGTCTGAGTTAACTGTTATCCTTCAGAATTCAGAGGAAAGAATTTGTGCCACAATAGTCCCACCAGCGGTTAATTCTTTGTTGGTATTCTTTTCTTGTTAAATGCGTACTAATTACCTCAGGCTACAGATGTCATCTCTACTAAGGCGAGGCTTGTTTCCCTAATCTGGTAATTGACATAGTAACCTGTGAAGCATATACTATTTCATGTGTTTGTGTTCATGAGTATACTTGACTACTATGCAGGAACTTGTGTAGATTACGTCATTAAGTATTGCTCTGAATAAGTAAATGATAATGCAAATCTGTTTGAATCTCGGATTAGTTCCCTATTACGGTGAATCAGGTCAACCATCAAGGACATAGACGAATTCAGGCTAAACTAATCGATTGAAGTATGAAACTGGACTAACTTTAAAGGTCACCCTAGCAACAATTCATGAGGAAGGGAGAAAACCGATTCACTCATCCTCCCACCAAATATGAAATAGTTGTAGCATGGATTGTTTCGAAGTTAAACTTGACCTCCTAAGAAGTACGCTTGCTGAAAATGCCTAAATCAGCCGATCTGTTGACAAGAAGGTACGAGAAACACTTGAGAAACCAGTAATCATAGTTTTAGAAAGACTGTTTATGACTTCGATATTTAAAGGTGATGTAGTATCATATATTCTTAAAAATAGTCTTTGTGGTTAATTAGAAAAATTAATTTACTCCATCTAACGTCATTTGACCGTTATATGTCGTAAGTTGTTCTCCACATGTGTGCGATACAATACCCCTCGACTAACCACCTCTATATGTATCTGACAATTCATCTCTCGTGGAGTAAGGTACATATCAGTTGTAGTCAGAGATTTCTGTCAACACAAGAGTATATTTCAGCTTGGTTTTATAAAAGTGAAAAGAAATGCATTAGAATTCTTAAGCTTGGATACATGGTTAATCCTAACCGTTCAAGTAATCCAAACGATGACTTTAAGGTCATCATAGTCGTAGTCTCAACTTTCAAACCAGTTTGTTAATCTTTTCATGTAAATCTAAATCTAACTGAATTAGAGAGTAGGAGCATCATATTGATTACCACTTTGGCTGAGATAGCCGAGGTTCGGTTGGTTCTCATTGATACTGGGTGGTGATGTTTAAAAGTGAAATGAGAATTTGGACCACGGCTAATCTAATTCAGTTAAATTTAATATGGGATGAGAAGTTCTCATTGGGTGCAGCCACTAACTTATACCACAATTGAATTTTGACGGGGTTGATTCTCTCCTAGGACCTCTTTTCCTGGATGAGCTAGCCAGGACACAAACTGAGTATTGGATAATCAGTTGGCTGCATTCCTATTTCTCTAAAAACAAACAACATACTCTTCACAGGGAGAAGTACTCCACCTCATTGCTTACTGTCACTGGTGTTCCCCAACGAGCCGTCCTTTCCCCTTGTCCTCTTCTCCTCCTTTCTGCATGAATTAA